GTTTTTCATAACATCAAACAATTTGTTTCGGTGCATGTCAGAACATGCGAAACAAATCTTTTCTGGATTGTCAGAACATGTGAACCGATTTTTAATCTTCGAGCCGTGTGCTGAGATTGATTTCAATATCCATGCAAAAGATTGGGCTCCAGCTTTGAGGAGCCAAAGAAATTTTTCTCCCGCCCTCCCAACCCGGGGGTTGAATGAGCAAAGCATGTCGACTTCATGCTTTTGAGATTGCATGCAGCGGCATGCATTACCGTATGTGTTGGCATACACAATCTCTCAACTCGAATTCGCCCCGCGTCTAGTGAGAATCTAGTGTAAAAAAGATGAGACCGAGCGCTACACCTGTTATGCAGTGATTCCAGCTTGCTTGATTTATATTTGAAATATGATATTTTATAGAATTCATATTTGCTGCCAAGCATCGAATATATTATTCTGTGATTGGCATAAGTTGCCGTTTGATTGATACCTTTGGATTGATCAAGCAAGATATCATTCGAGTTTGTCGTTATGAAGAAACTGTTCGCAGGAAACAACAGAAATAATGGATCAGTGTCGGATGCGAAGCTTGCTGGGGCCAAAGGCATCGATGTTCTCGGAAATTTCGCTTATGTGGCGGCCTACACATATGGGGGCATCACCTTCGTGGACATCTCTGACTCTTCGAATCCGACCGTCCGAGGTAGTGTGCAAGCCGCAAGCTTGGCAGGGTCCAGTGGCATTGTGGTGGACAGCGGAGGAAACTATGCAATCGTGGCATGTGAGACGAGTCAGCACGTCATCCAAGTGAACATCGTCGACCCCGACAATCCTTCTGTGGCCGTTGTCGTGGATGCAGTGGAATCAGTGGGCGCAACATTCACACCCATCGACATTACATCCACTCAGGGCAGCGACCCAGACATTATCGTGGTTTCCAGCTCTTCTGGAGATGGGATGGTCTTGAAAGATTCTGACACCTGCAGCAGTCATCGCCACCACAACCACCACAACCACCACAACCACCACAACCACCACAACTGCAACCATAACCGCAACCACAACCATTGCAGCCACAACGAGAACAGCCTCAGCAACAGCCACCGCAACAACCACCGCGACCACAACTGCAACCACAACCACAACAATAACAGCCTCAGCAACAACCACCGCAACAAGTACAGCCACCACAGCCGCAACCACAACCATAATCACCGCGACCACAACAAATACAACCACAGCAACGGCCACCAAAACAATTGCCGCCACCACAACCACAAGCACACAGGGCACCAAAACAATCACGACCACGAGTAGCCGCACCAACGACAACGATTGAGAGATTGACATTAACGAGGCTTGCACCCCACGCGTATGTGCTTTCCTAGTTGTGGCTATATATGGCAAAGGTGACGATCTGAACGGTCTGATTCTCATTGAGGTCGAAACTTGACCAGGGAGCATCTTCATACAGTTCTTGCCGGTTTGTATCTACGATGTAGATGAGAACTTTTTCTTCCAGCAAAGTGGAGCGCGAAGAGACGCTGTGCTTCAGTTTCACGGCCTTCAGATCCGCAAGGATTGGTGTGAATGAGACTCGTGGAGTCACTGATCCGCTCATACGCACAGTTAGTTGGCAGAATATGTGAGTGGGAGCTTGAAGCCGAGCGTGACAATGGATCGCATACCGTACATAAGTTCGTGGTTGTCCTCGGTGACTGCACCTGCGTTGGCTCAAAGTTCAAAGGAACGTTCGCAGCTAGCAAAGCAAACCGGCATTCGCATAGCAACGACCATGGAGCCACGGAACGTGGAGGAGATTTCGTTCGGTTTGCAAAGCATGCATCTTTCGTTGATACATGTTACATACATGTACAGATAGTGCAAGTGCAGTCGTGCTTACGCAAGCACTGCAAAGATATGCGCTTATGTATATTGTATCTATAAATTTAGCCAACACACACACACACACACGCACGCACACATGCTGCGTGCATGTATGACGTTGTATGCATATTTTGTATTGGACATGTCGGAGTGCTTACCCAGTGCACGCCTGTATTTGCATACATACCTGCAACAATCCGCAAATCACGCTCTTGCCTTACGTAGATATGTATGACTTACAAACCTTGCAAATCTGCACCAACCATCTCTTTCGCTGAATGGAAAGTTGAAACAGTCGTGAGGTCTCTTGACTGTTTGTCTGTTGTTGTAGGATTTCTCAACCTTTACCTCCTAGGCGCGTATAAACATCGAAGCGACATAAACACGAACTTTCGCACCATCGTATTTGGTTTGCATGATGTTTGCTTTCTGGCGTTCCAGAGCACGTTTCCCAGCCGTTTTGGTTTGCTTACCAGGAATGGTTCGATTTCACACCACATTTGTTGTTGGACGACAGCTGGGTGGAGGTGGACATTGCAGAGTGCTTCATCTGCACTAGTTTGATGCCAAACGCCAACAGTTCTTGCTTTCTTGTTGGGCATGTGTCAGGCATTCGGCTAAAGCTGCCATATACCATTGCGATTGCCATTGGGGTGGTCGTTTGGTCAAATTCGTGCTGAGCGGTGTGGTTGTTCACAACCCGCCCCTGATTAAAAGCCATGCGTCTTGGTCGAAGACAAGTGTAGTCACGACCGAGATTTCTTTTACCCCGCTGTGATATTTATTGTCAGCAACACGTGATGTGGTGTGTCATCGTCGAGAGGCCCTGGTGCGGCCAGAAGTCAGGCCCGGGTTTGCTTGGCGATTTATGCGTGTTTTTCGCAACTACGTTGTGTGAGAACTGTTTCACGATGTGAGCGTGCAGGGCCCTGCATCAGAACGCGTCGGAGGTGACTCACGACATTTTCCGTGTAGTTTGTGTGCACTTGTGTAGAACTTCCGCTTGTGCTGCTCTCGTGGATCTTGCCAACCAAGGCTGTCTTTGCACCCGAATTGCTTGAACTGCACGATCCTGGCACTACCACTGTGCAACAGTTTTCCTCCTGGGGTTTGCTTCGACTGGGCAGTTTCTGAGCTTGCAATGCTCCCAAATTTGTCATGCGGCGTGCGATCAAAGCGAACTAAGAGAAGAGCAATGATGTCTTGTGTGCCAGTCAAGGGCATCGGTCAGGTCTCCTTTTTGCCGATCTGGAAGAACCATTCCGGAAGAATTCGAGTGATTTGTTGCGGTGCTCGTCTGCTGCAAGCTATCAGAACCTCCGGCGTGACTATCCGGATTTCGGTGACAGCAGCTTGGTGGTGGATGCTCGATGCTTTTCTCAACCTCATTTTCGGTCCAAGAGTTCTCAGGAACTGCAGCTAAGGCGCATTATCTTTCTACCAGGATGGAGTCGGTCGTGCTGGTTTGTTGGTATGCCATCCGTGTGAAGAGGATGGCAGGTTTGATGTGATTGGTGTGTTCAATGTGCCACATGAGAAGCCGCTGAGACTGTGTTTTTGCGACACAAGATGCAACCCTAAACGAGACGGTCTGCATGTTGCTTCTGAAACCGTTGGTTCTGCAAGGTTCGATGATTGGTCTGCAATTCACTTCAATCTTGTCTTGGAGTCAGCCCAAAGAGTCGCAGACAGATTCTTGAATGGCAGCGGGCTTATTTCAAGCATGCATTAAACCGTAGCTCAGGAAGCTCTAGACGGCTCGGTCATGTTGTGCTCTCGACTGCTGTTGGCATAATTAGATCTTCGTGGTGCATCCGATGCAATCCGCTTCAGTGCTAAGCACAAAGTGAAGTCTAGTGGGTTTGCTTGCTTATCGAGGTCCGAGCATTTCGACGATGCGCGAGAGTGATGAATATTTTTACATTGTTCCTTAGCTTGATTATTTCGATTGTGCATGCCCTTGCGGTGTTTTCTGAGCTCTCAGCGTTCTGGCACAGCAACTGGGTTTCAGGTTTTGACGATACAGAGTTGCAAGCGTGGCTTACCTCTGGTCCCTTTGGTTACAGACGAGCTGCCAACGACCACAATTGTTGCAGGAGCTTGTTCCCACCAGCATGAGTGGAAACGAGCAGATACTCGTACTTCTCAAGTTGCACGCGTTGTTCGCGCGTTTCCGGCTGCTGTGCTAGACACAGCAACTCCTATTGGTGCTACGTAGATTGCAGGGGATCGGGTGGAGCTTTTGCCGGGTCTAAATCGTAGCAGCGTGGACCGGAAGAAAGATGTGGAGAGGACATAGACTGTGAGACGTATGTTGGAAGTGTTTGAAGGAGAACGCCTTGGTCTGGATCGCTGGATACGTGACGTGACGAAAGCTGTTGTGCGCTTCGCGGTGCAGGTTACTGCCTTTTGCTGCATTGCCAGGTTTCAACCCGGAGTCGGTTGGCAGCTCCAAGTTCTACCTGTCGGAGCAGCACAGCTTTTCTACAGCTTGCAGAATTGCGACGTACTTGTACTGCACATTGTGAGCATCCGTCATGAAGACTCAAAGGTACATCAAAGTATTGCTGTCCAATGTTGGGGAGAATATTGACGCCTACAACTCCATGGATGGACGTACTCTCATGCCCTATCAGTGTGCCGTACGCCGCGAGCAGTGGAGCTCATTGAGGCGCGGAGACGGTATTGCTGTGTTGCTCTTGCATCAGAACCCATGGCACGATTCTTTCCGGAGAAACGAAGCGGGAAGTGGGGTGTTGCACAGCAATCTTTTGTGAGATGCTTGAGGACACGATTCGTTGAAGTCTTCCTCTTGCAGAAAACTGCTACTTGGATTGCAACATGACACTGGGGTTGCCTTCGGTTCTGTATGTCGTCCTCCGTCAAGGCTTACCGGCGTGCCAACGGCGGGTCCACTGCACCAAGCATGCATGAAGGCGTCGAGCCACGCTTCAGTCCGGACACCTCCGTGATGCTGCTGAAGCTTGGATCGCAAGTCCGGGCACAGTCGTGTGCTTCGGCTTGTTGTTGTGCTTATGGCTTTAGCTGGAATGGTGTGTACGAATACACCTTGTGTTTCGCAGCTTGCTGATCTGACTTGTCGAGCCTGTGTCATTGTTTGGCCAGCTGCGCGCCCTCACACTTTGTTATTGAGGAGAGAGCGTCTCTTTCGTGGAAAATCGCAGACCGCACATCAGAAAGTGCTGGTGCGGCGTACTTTTCTCGAGCTAGAGGAGGATGAGTACAAGATGGGTAGAGACCAGCGGCGACACAAGACCACAACTGTGTTGCCAGAGAACTCTCCAATCCTCGCGGCCTAAGCTTCGTAAGGCTGCAGTTTTGGGTTTTGTTCCTTTTTTTCAGCATCCCATCGCTTGCCGGGTGTCGTAGCGTTTGCCCCGTCTTTAGCTCGGGGGCTTCTTGGCGCTTGATACCAAGCCACTTTGTATAGCATGCGATCTTTATTCAGGCCGCTGGAGCTGTATGCATGAGACATGTCTGCTGCACAGGGCATTTCATGTCGCACTTCACAGTGCAGTTGTACAGCCCTGTTGTGGACGGGGGGCTTCCCTCTCGTCGAATCTCGAATTCATGCCAATGAAGGAAGTTTGTTTCGACGATTCGAGTCGGTGAGCTTCGGTGACCTCCAGCGAGCAGCTCAGCATCACAAGCTGGAGGCTTGTGGCGGAAAAAGTTGCGCGTTTCGGCTCGATTTTTTCCAGCCTTCTCCAATGGCCTTCTCCTATGTTTTCTCCGCAGACAGCGGAGTCAGCAGAGCACTTGTAGCCATTTTGGCTGTTCACCAGTTTGTGTAGAGTTGCTGCCACCCTGACCCTGATTTAGCACTGCGTCGGCCTGATGCCAAGCTCGGCGTCGCCTTGCTTGTAGAGCTTCTGGCCGAAAGCATATTGTGTCTGTGTCCGCCTTTGAGTTGCCCACCTGTTACGTGGTCCGTACAGGTCGCGTCTGATGGCCGCTACAAAACGGAGAAGACTTCCGGAGGCAGTGAAAGTGCCATAGGAAGAGAACATAGCCAGCAGCGATTCCCAATCAAGCACATCCTATTGCATGCACGGCAAGCGTGACATGACATGAGCTTCATACGATTTCATACGTATCAGAGCATACTCCCAGCACTTCCTTGTCTGCAAGTCTTGGGTGACTCTGCGTGCGTGTGCCATGACTGCATAGCTGCTCCACATCCCGGTGCATATGACCCGCATGGCAAGGTTCAAGAAGTTTGATGTGCACCGAAATCTGCAGGTGGACAAGGAGAACCTTCCTGGAAATGTTTGTTCGCGCAACAAGCACTGCAGAGACCTCATTCGGGGTTTCCCTTCAAACCCTGCAGTCGTGTGCTTTTGGAGCGGTCACAGTTTCCAGGTCATGCTGGTGATGAGAAGGTGTCAACGCCTTACCATGTTGAAGATGGCGTTTTGTGCTTCCATGGGCGCAACATGTCTTCGAACACCTAAAGGACGCAACTCCGAGATTCAGCAAGGCACGTAAACAAAGGCGAATTTTGATTTTTGGATCAGCAAGATGTGGGTGAGCTTGTGCAGGGCTCACAGAGCAACTTTGGAAGTGGGGCATCCGTGAAATTCCTGCAGCTTTTCTCCTCGACTGTTACGTCTGTGATGGACCCGAAGCTCCAGGTCCAAGATGTATGGCAGGCGTCGAAATTCACATCTTCTTCACATAGCTCCACCCTCTAACATTTACAAGATGGTACATATAATATAGCCCTAAACTCCAAATCCCAAAGCCACATCCGAAACCCTGAACGTCACGGGCAAGCCCCACATCCAATGAAGGGCCGCAAGATCGGCAACAAACGGGGAAAAGCCAACCACGAGAAGGCAGTACATCATCACTGTTTTGAAGCGAAATCTTTTCGAATCGCGAATCTGGGGCCCAGCCGAAGCTCTGATGCAAGGAAAATGCGCCTAACTATAGGGAATCTCCTCTGCTTGTACACAGATGCGGCACAGTCTTGAGGTAGAAGCTGTTTCTTCTCAGGAAGACGGTGGAAGAGATCTATCAAAAAAAGAGCCAGCTGGAGCAGCCCCCCCAGCTTGTGGTTGCTCGGCCGGCGAGCGAGGACGGTGCGACGATCACAGTCATGAGCCGTCTTCACTGCAAGGCACATTTTGCTGAGGCCGGACTCCTATGCGAAAGCCTCAAAGTCTTTTCCCAGTACAACGGGTTGCCCTCGAGATTTGCACCTTAGAAGGTCGGATCCATCGAGCGACAAACGCAAGAGCACTGGGTGCTTGATGCCAGGTGCCAAGCAATTCTTTGAAGCTGGCCATTTAGATCAATTTATAGTCAAGCTTTGGCACTGCCACCCGCAAAGTCGAGTCTAAGAATTTACTCAAGTGAGATCTGCTGCAGATGCTCAGTCTGCTTCTATTCAGGCCAGCAAAAGGATGTCAAAGAGAAGCCTTGAGTGCCAGTCTCAGAGTTCACTTTCCTTCAGCCTCTGAGGGACTGGCGGCACGCCCTAAGCTTCAAAGCCCTGTTTCCAGCTTTGTCATGCTTGCAGGACATAGCCACGTGGAGAAAAAAAATAAATCTCTGTGCGGGTGTATGTGTGTGTGTGTAGTGTGTGCGTGCGTGCACGCCTGTACATGGCGACCGCTGTGAGTGAACTGTTTTCTTTGAAGCAGGGGGGTACGGCTCTCTGATGCTACCGTAACCCAACGAAGCTTTGCATCAGAGAAGGAAGCCAAGCCTGATCAGCTTGGTGTACCTGCAAAGGCCAGCCCAAACACCCCAAAGCAGCTGTTGTTTCTATCATTGGGCTTCCGTGATTCTGTATGGTTGCCACAATCTGTCGTCGTTTGGTCCTGTCGGTCGCTCGTCGAAGTCATCCGTGCCGTGCCAAAGCGTGTGTCGTTCTGGAAATCCTGGCCCAAGCCCGGGATAGCGGATGATAGCGCCAACGTCGCCAATCTGAAATTCTTCATCCATCGGAATCATTCCAGTAGGGTGACATGTGCTCACGGTGATCTTCATCGGGATCATCAACGAGCAAACACAGGGAGCTGTGCTGAACGTTTTCAACGTCAGAGCGTAGAGTGTTGATTTCGGAAAGGGAGGGTCCCAGGGGTCAGGCAACGCGCGTAAAACAGGTTTCAGGCAGTGAAGGTTGCATCTGCTGAGCAAGTGTAGTTGAGCGCAACATGTCTTTCTTCGCTGTAAGCATGACGCAGGTTCTGAAGCCACCTCCCCCTTTTGTTGGGTTGGTGCAGTGTTGTTCCTTGTTGCCTGGTTTCCTTGTAACGTTTTTAAATCTCCGCCCCAGGCGTGCTGTTGTTCAGATGTTTAACCCGTTTCTTGCGGCGCTGATAAACTGCTCGAATCTGTTTTTCGTCCCGACTCTTTAGGATATTCTACGATCCCCGCACGGGAACATGCATCGGCCCGCTGAAGCGAGCACTGTACCCTCCGGTACATGTTATGCCGATGCCTCCTCCGAGTTTTGCCTTGCCCGCACCAATACCTGAAAGTGTGCATTGAAGACGTGAAGGAGCAGTTTCCAAGCAACAGCAAAACGTGTGCAACAAGCTTGTGCGCCTCGGAGCCATGCAAAAGAGGCCGTCGCAGCCATCCGTGCGCTGTATCATGCAGCGGGATACACTGATTCCGCTCTGGGACAAAAGAAAACACAGTAGAGCAGTGCTTGAATTCATGGCTTTCTACAGTGCTTGAGTGAGCAATGCCGAATGTGCTTGTGTCGCTGCCGTGTATCGCAGTGAAGCGCTCGAATACTAAGTCTAGTTTTATGTTATATCCAAGAACATTATGTTTCGAACTCCCACGGGCGGCAAGGCAACACTCCGAAGCCGTCGCGAGGAAAAGGCCGCAGACAGCAACGATCTCGTACTCCCCCATCTCACGACAGCTGTCGCGCTTCTCAACAGCATCATTTGGAGCAATCCCCGCCACCACGGTTGCATCGACAAATGATGCATTTGGCCTTCGAGATGACGGAGGAAGAACATGACCCGCGTTTGAACCGCGCGGTCAAACCTTCAACAACCCCTTCGGGACCACCCGCAATATCCATCCAGATGAACAAGCCACGCAGCAAGACAATGAAGCGGACCAGCAGACCACTGACATTCTGTTTTTTCAGCACAACATCACCGAGACAGTCAGCAAAGTTGAGACGCTGTTGCATCAAATTAATACTTTGCTGGTAACCCAGCATCAGCTTGTGCTTTCAATGATTACTGGATGCAAGCGACAACTGGATGTCATGGAGGGATTGTTTCGTCAGAATGTGACGAATCCCTATGCTCCAGCTTGGAGCTAGTATGGTGAGCCGACATGTGTCTCTGATCGTTGCAAACCCGCGCTACACCGTACAGTTTTCTTTGTTGTCTACAACATGTGACATTATTCCCACAAGTGACACATAGCATACGGCTCAAACTTAGCTTGGAGTTGCACATATGAAGATTTGGCACTTCAGCACCATGCAGCCTGTGGACCAGAACGACGCGATTGCCTGGCTTCGGCGCTGAATGACTTGTTGCTCGGTGAGGTTGACAGCACCGACAGCCGCAGCACAATATCGGACGCTGATGCACGCAGTTCTGAGGCAGCCGCTGCTGATTTGGTGCAAAAACAATAGCAGAACGTCTTCGACGAAGACAAAAAAGAAGCATAAACAACATTCGTCCAAAAGTCCCTCGCAAGAGAAAACTTACGCATCTCCAACAGACTCAGATTGCAGTACGAATACACTCAGTTTTACAACAAGCAGACCCATGACAGGCACACATTGCGCAACATCGCGCTCAAAGGCGTGTGCAAAGATGCTTGTACCAGCAGGATGGCGATGTGATTGCCATGTCATTCATGTTTGACACTGCCCGGCAGTTTGCACCTGTCTAACAACAGCACCTGCGCACTGTCACCTGTATGTGCTGAGACATTCAACATGGCGGTATGTTTGTGGATTGTGAATGCAAGTGCAACAAGGTGTTTGTTGCAGATTGGTTCAAGTTGAAAAACAGCAATTCCATGATGAAGCGCGCGGCTGGCTGCCCGGCTTCCCGACCCTTTTCAGCCGCGCACCAAATGTATCAAACTTTCAGCTACGACACATTGCTTACACCGAACGCATCACGGCCTTCAGCGCTCTTCTACCCATCATCTTCGTGAGAATCGATTCCGACGATTGGTCTCAATCTACAGCAGCCAAGCACAGAAAGTTCGCCATGCTTTCTCAACAGGTTTTTAGCAGTCTTGCATGTGCTATCAGTGTTTGCAGCAGGTACAAGTGACTGACCGTATATACCGCAGCCTTTTCAGTAACTACAATTTGAGCGCTTGTCCCAACATGTCGGGACTACATCCAGCAGGAGGACAACACCGATGTCAATTTCATCAGCTTACGATGGCCGGCATCATGCAATTCTTTGCGCTCCCAAAGCTTTGGGCTTTTTGGAAACGACCACGTGATGACAATCACAACAAACAGTTTTCGTTGGCGCGTCAGAACTTTGTCTACTACACCTATGCGGACCGCATATGTCAGCAACATGATCATGCATTTATCCGTGAATACTACCACGAAGACAAGTCTTCCGTGCTATTATGGAGATGACCCTGCCTCCAAAGCTCATTTCAGCATTGGCCACTGTCAACAAGCGCACACATGCCACCTGCCGATACGAGATTCCAAAGCACAATTACAACTACCACATCTACATCCCACCAAAGTGCCACAGCCACAACTTCACACCTCCCACCACCATTTCCAAGATACCAACAACTTTTCGCACCACACATACATCCACACCACCCAACCTCAAGCTATACCTGCGCAACAGATCCTTCACACACTGGCAGCTGGTTAAGATCACTGCTTTGCAGCTGACCAGACTGCAGTACAAGCGGTGTTTTTCTGCCATTGTATGCTTCACCCAGCTTCAATACAGAATGAAGCAGCATCAACAAGACAAAGAATTTTGCATCGGAGGCAACAAAGACTGGCGCATCATTTACCAGTCGTTGGATTCAATCGTGCATGTCAGATGCACTTGCCCGTATGGGCTGTGTGTGTGTGTGTGAATTTCCCTAGCAATGGAAATAGAGGGTCACTCCTCTTGGGTGGGTTATACTAAGCATGGCAGTGCAGCTTTGATTATGAGTGATGTGCAAGGGGACAGGAGCTGACTTGCCTATCCTGTCCAACGAAGCTATGGCAAGACAGTGGATGCACAGCCTGATCAGCCATGTGTACCTGCAAGTGATACTGAACGTAAGGAAGCATCTAACACCATCGCTGTACATTGGTTGCCTTCGCTGTTGCTTCAACAGACAGTCTTCAGCAGCCTTGACTGTGAAGCATCTTATTGACTGGCAACACCCCGCCCTAACCCACTTTGCTTGCCTCGACCTCACCTCTCTGCCGAAATCCGTCAGTGCTCTGTTCCAGGTATGTGCCTGCATTGTACAAGATTTTCGACGAGATCTTGGTGCCTGATGGATTTTGTTAGGTATTGATTGTTGCATGTCGCCGGAACATGTTGTTAGCTGCTTAACACTTAGCAGGTAAATGCCGCGGACAATCTCATCCGAGATCCGACCCAAAACATCATCCGGGTCGAGGCATGTGATTGATCATCTTGAGGTCGTTGTTTGCGGTTCCCCTCGCAAAGGTCAAGCGCAAGGAGGGCTCTCTAAGTGTTTGGAACAACGGTGCTGGCTTGCCGATTCAGGCTGATCAGCATGTTTTTTCTTTTTTTTGACAGGATGCGGAGGCTCCAGCGTTTGCATCGCTCATTCATGCCAGTTGCACCGGGAGCACAAGTGCTACGTCCCTGAGCTGGTCTTCGGCATGGGCCTTTGGGTTGACCTTCCTACATGATTCAGGTTTGCGGGTAAGTGGGCGGATGAGGTCATCTGCTCACAAGCGACAACTATGACGACAGCGAGAAAAAGGTTGTCGGCGGACGTAACGGTGCAGCGCCCAAGATCATTCTGATGAGAGGAACAGTCCATGTTCGAAACGTGTGGGAGGATTTCGGGACATAACATGAGACATAAGACCCAAAACACCATGCACCGATTGGTCACGAGCTTCGCACAGTCTCCTGGTTTGGCTGGGAAGCTGGGTCAGTCTCCCTCATAACCTGTTGCTGCTGCTGCTGCCGCTGCGGCTGCCACTGCTGCTGCTGCTGCTGCTGCTGCTGCTGCTGCTGCAACCACAAGTCGGAAATTCCTTTGGACACTCTCGCAGAATTGCTGAACACTTGCGCCCACACCTTTGCTACCCCTGCCCGCACTGCCCTGAAGAAGGGTGGGCCGGCCTGCTCCCCAGCACCCAGTACAACTACGCATGACATGGCGAGGTGTAGGCTTCTACAAGCTCATCCGCAGGCTATGGCGCCAAGTTGACCAACATTTTTTCGACAAAGTTCGTTCTGGAAACAGCAGACTCGAGGATTTCAGCGAGATTGCGTTCTCAGTTGTTGTTCCTCCGCATCAAGTTGGACAGGAGCGGCAAGAAGTACAAGCAAGTCGCGATCTGAAGGGTTGTTCACCATTTGCGTGGTTGCGGACATCTGTTATCTGCCTAGGCTCAGCTACACTACATGACATGAGACCGAGGTCTGGGAGAAAAACATGACCGTTTGCCACAAGCCAAGCATTACTCAGAATAAGTCTGAGGACTTCACTCAGGCGGGCACATGTGTTGGGCGCTGCCGTCTGCATTATGCCATGCAGTGGGCTCGACTGGAGGGCAGGAAGGAAGTAAGTCTAAGCTTTTAGGACGTCCTCGCCGTGGCAGTAATTCCATCTCGGGCAGAAGGTTTTCGCTTAGAGGGAGAAGGTTTCGGGAGTGGAGTGAGGGAAGGCGTGCAAAGGCATGCCAAGACTGTCATGAGATCAAGCAGCATACAGTACATCTGCAAAAATGTCATTTTTGTCCACGGCTTTTCACGTGGCGACAGCAGCTCGCCAGTGGCAATGCTCAGAGCTCCAGGGATTGCGCAGAAGTCTGAAGCGCTTGCACCTCGCACTCGCCCTCAGAAATGTAAATAAAGGGCACGCTAGCTGAAATCGGGAACTAGCTAAGCCAGAAGCTTTCAAACAGCCTGAGAGTCTGTCGAAAACGAAATAACGGCCAAGGAGGTTGGCTCAAGCTCAAGCTACAGTGCTCCAGCGTGGCTGGTTGGGGTTTTGGATTTGCCAGTCGCCGGTTCGTCGACCGGTTGGTGGGGCTTGGCGCGTGTGCTGCTCACTGCACGTCTTCGTTCCTGTTGCAGCTGTTTTTCTTGTGGAGTAGACAAATCGAAAACGAAGAGCTGACCGCTGTCAGAGGGCAAGGGGGGGTAAGGGGAGGGCAATACCATGGTCCCAAGGAACTCAACCAAAACGCCCGCCTCCGGCCTCGGCGTTTTTCGACATGCTAGCAATACGAGTATAGTCATTAGCACGGTCAGAGAAGTTTAAGCCACCAAAAGGAGTCAGCGTCGGGGAGCTCACACACATTGGTAATGCTGCTTCGCATCGAGTTATGTGCTCAGAAACACGGCCCGCCTTGGTCACTGCAAACATTGAATTGGCGCAGCAATTCCTTCTACACAGTAGCACGAGAGGCGGTGCACCTGCACCGAAACCGAAAAGGCACAGACTCAGACAAGCGTAGCAAGTCAAAGAACACAACAAAAAACAGCGCAACCAGAGAATAAACAAAGCAACTCCAGATGCCTAGTTGTCGAGATTTCGCGCTGTTTACGAGGAATGGCTGCTCAGATCGCATGGGGAGCATGTACTCCACTGCACGTTGCACTTGATACATGCCTACCGAGAACACCAAAGCAGAGAATGCTATTTGCACCACTCCTCACGTTTGTGCCAACAAAAACTGGCACGTTCGCACTGCGGGACTCGGACTTGTACATCGGCTTCCAGCAGAGGCATTGTGACAACACGTGTTCAACATGGGACGTTCAGAGTTAGCGACCTTCGACCTGAATTGTACGAGACGTGGTCTTGGAATGTTGCAGTTGAGCTGCTTCCAGAAGAGTCAGAGAGAGCTGATGAAGTTCAAAAAGGCACAAACAGAAGGTTCGCAGACCCAATCAGCAATGCAAGGCTTTGAGCAGCTGGGCTACCGACAAATCCATGGAAACACTGGTCCAGATGTATCACTACTTATAAACAACATCATCCAATCAGAACATTAAATGCTTACGGAAACGCAACTGGCGCTCTACTCATAAAGAGCATCATCCTATCAGAACATTAAGTGCTTCAGGAAACACAACTGGCGCACTACTCATAAAGAACATCATCCCATCAGAACATCAAGTGCTTACGGAAGCACAACTAGAGCGTACGAGCAGGACGACAGTTGTAAAACCTCCAACATATAGAAATTCGACAAATTTACAAACATGAGAGATTATTAGAGGACGAAGCGAAGCTGCGATGTTTTTTGGGACGCCTGGAGCGTGATGCAAGAAGAAGGCGGTCTGCAAGAGTTAGCACATGTGGAGTTAGACATGACACAAACGTTTCTGAACTAGCTAGAAGATGCAGAATCGCCGCAGTAAGTGGACGGTGTTAGCAAGATTTTGCTCCCTCCTGATACTGAAATTCACCAATCTAAACGGTACGAGCAGTTGAAGATTCAAAAGTAAGCAAGAATGTCAGACGTTCTTCAGAGTTTTTTGCACATGTACAGTGTAAGACAATCAACAACCACGATCACCCGGCAAGATCACTCTGAAATTCTTGTTGCCGCAGCAGCACCAGTCAAAGTGACCCCTTCACGGAAGAACCTGACATCGCATCAAGCAAGCTGGCAAAAATCTGGCAAACAACGAAACTCAGGATCTGACGCACTCCGGACTGCATTTGACGACAACGGACAAAAGCCAAATATACATTATAATATATATATATATATACATACATACACATACATACATATATATATATATATACATATGTACATATATATATATACACATATGGTACCCCCCAAAAAAACCCAAACCCCCATCTGATCAGGTACGATGAGCGTCCACTTCTTTGCCTTCACTGGGTCTAAACTGCAGCTTCATATTAGTTCAGGGTTTCAGGCTTTTGTGTTAAGGGCTTCCGCGCAACATGTTCCCATACTCTGGGAATCTGATGCTCCGTTGATGCCACTATGATTGCCGCAAAATTCGTCCAAGGTCAACTACGCAGTGTCATCGACAACTCATTTGCCGAACTGGAGATGACAAACCCAGACGCCACATCCATCTCTCATGATGACTTCGTGAAGATGATGAAGCCCGATGCTCCGTTGATGCCAGTATGTATGGAATCGCGACGCGGCATGCACTTTGATAAATAACAACAAAGCTTTTGCAGAATCGCAGAATCGCAGATTCGCAGAATCGCAGAAGCGCAGATTCACAGACAGGCCAGGTCCTAAGGTCTCTAGAATCCGCGACTCTGCGAATCCTGCGGTTTTGACAAAGACTGTAAGAGTCGTCTAAAGTGTGCTCACGTAGCCGCTCACAGTATCAATCATTAAAAATCGACTCGTGCTTCTGTCCTTTCCTGCGACAACATTCACTTCGGACAGGCCAAAGAGGCTACGGAGCAAATGGTGCTCCGCGAGCTTCACGAGCACGTGTGTGTTGGGCTTATGCCGCTAGGTGTGTTAACATTACGAATCTGCCTATACGCGAGTCACTCGTACATGATATTAACCGTTTTCTTGTTGAACTCCTAATTATGATATAAACCAACTCTTGAACATTATGAGATCGACAATATATGTTTTCTTGCTACAAAGGTTCTCATCGCCAGCCCAGCTCATGACTCACTTCCTCGATGTTTGCTACAACGTGGCAAAGACTGACCTCGACATCGAGAACCTCAAAGGCATTTTCACTTGTGTCAATATTGCTTTCTGCATCGAGACAACATTAGAGCTGTTGCTCAGGTTCTGCAGAGGATGAAGATGTTTTCGTTGGGCCTGTACCCTGTGCACCAACACTTCAGGAACGTTTCGTAGACACGTTGCCAGATGGATTCTTGCACACAAACAGTATAGTTCTTCTTTTATTGATATAGTCGTGCATAATTGGCAATTGCATTGTGTTGTGAATACGAATCTAAGGAAAGCCAATGCTGCAAACAGGAGAGCTGGTCTTTAACCTCACGCGGAATAGTGAAGCGCCCTTGTCCGAAGAAGACATGTTTGCATCCTCGCGTTGACTCCGTGAGACTTCTGCTGCGAAAGGAACTGAAGAAAATATGCGCGCCTATGTACATCCATATGCTCATGATGCAAGCGGGGTATATAGGCCGCGCGGTTTCCGGTTTGAAGGGAGTTTAAAGGGTTTGTGTATATGGAGATGGGGATGGTATGTAAACATGTAATAGTGTACAGCGTGCTGTGGTTCTCTGCAACAGCGACTCGACTGCATTTAAATTTTGGCTCAAGTGGTCGGAAGCGACTAGACTAAATATGTTTATGCTGTTGTTGGTTCCACAGGCTACAAGTTTCAAGAGTTCTCCTTTCTTGCCCTAGTCGTACTGTAGAGCCTCATGGAACCATGACATGCCACGGTCAAGAGTCGAGAACAACATTGATTAGACTAAATCTGTTTATGTTGCTGTTGGTTTCACAGGCCACAGGAGTTCTCTTTTCATGTCCTAGTCACACTGTAGAGTCATTAGGTTTGGAGCCAGCACATACCACGGACGAAGACGTAGTAGGTCTCCTCCGCAGACGACCTCTTGGAATGCAGCTAGCAGGTCTTCCCCACAGTCGACCCGTTTGAGTGCAGCGACCACACTGCCGCCTTACCGGTTCTTGCAGGATGTTTCGGTTGTCTTCTACGTAT